GATGGTGTCGGGTCTCATTATGATGCCTAGGCTCGTCTCCAACTCCTGGGCTCAAGCACTTCCCCTGTCTTGGCCTCCCAAGCACTGGGATTACAGGCATGAGCCTCTGCACCTGGCCTGCTTGCTTCTTATTAAGACATTTCTCTCTTCCTAAGTCTCAGTCTCTTGAAGTCTTTGGATTCAAATATAGCATAAGTGAGAGGCCAGGCATAGAGAGCAGAAAAGAAAAAAGTTTTGCAGGATGCATTTCCTCCTGTTGGTGGAAATAGACAAGGGATAGGGTAGTCAGTCAGCACTTGCTGAACACTGTCTATCCTTCTGCTTCTTGCTCCTGGGCTGTCCTCTCTGCACCCTCTGCCACGTCTCTAGCCTGCTTGTCCTGATGGCAGTGAGGTTTGTATCTCAGGCCTCCTCTGCTGTCTGAGCCTCCATTCTCATGTGCTTCAACTTTCCACTGGACTCTGATGCCATCTGGATGTCCCATGGATGCCTCGTGTACCACATGTGAAGAATGGAACTCATTACCTTCTCACACTCTCTTCTGTATGCCCTGCCTTTTCAGGCAGTGTTATCACTCACCTGGAAACCTCAGTTTTGCTCAGTTCCTCCTTCTCTCTCACCCTTAGCACTTGTTTGTCTCCTGCCCTGGGATGGTATCTCTTAAACAACCCTCAAATCTCTCCATTCCGTTTGATCACTATGACCGCTGCCTTAAAATAAGCTTCCTGCCGTCTCTCGCACACACTGCTGCAAGAATCCTGCAACAGGGTCTCATAATCTGCCTCAGAGTCCAGGCTTTATCCTCCTTTAGCTGCCACAGAACCTTTAAAAAGTTCCTACATTTGACCAGGTGTGGTGGCTCACGCCTGTAATCCCAGCATTTTGGGAGGCCAAGGTGGGAGAATCAGTTGAGGCTAGGAGTCCCAGACCAGCCTGGGGCACATAGCAAGACCCCATCTATACACACTGTTTTAAAAAATTAGCTAGGTTAGTGTCACGCACCTGTAATTTCAGGTACTTGGGAGGCTGAGGCAGGAGGATTGCTTGAGCCCAGGAGTTCAAAGCTGCAGTGAATGCGCTGTGATTATACCACTGCACTCCAGCGTGGGCGACAGAGTGAGACCATCCCTTAAAAAAAGAAAAGTTCCTGCGTTCCTACATTCTCAGACCCAGTGTCCTCATTTGTGAAACAGAGGTAATAATACCTTCCCCCTGAGCTTGTCAAGAGATTAGATGAAACAATGGTAAAATAAGTGTGAAACATTGAGCAGAGTGCCCACCACACAGTGGGTACTCAATAAATGGTTGCTGTCATTACTGTTAGTGTCTGGGCTCAGTCCTTGTGCTGTTATTGGCCACACTTCAGATCTTGTTACTTTCCTTCTTTGTTTGTCACTTATAGATAAAAAGCTAAAGTCAAGGGATCCAGGGCTGTAGAATGACTCTTGTGGGCCCAGACACTTTTGCCTAGATGGGCTCCTTCCTCCATATAAAATACTAAAAATTAGATTTTATGACTGTGTTTCTATTTGTCTTGAGTACTCTCTTTAAGAGCTTATAATTTTAAATGGCAATTCTCTAACCTCTGGAGACCGTGTAAATTTAGACAAACACATGTGTGGTCTCAAGTCCTGGGTTGGGATTTTTTTTACCCCCACTCTGAACACATCCAGAGACTATCTTCTTGTTTGTCTCATTATGCGTTTCCTTGGATTTGCACACACACACACACACAAATCCAATCTTTCAGGGACCTAAATTTTTGCAGATATTTCAGTTTCAATGATATTTCTCAAGAGAACCCAAAATCCCATATCCTGTGCATGCTTGAGCTCTGAAACTGCAGCTTTTAGTTAATGAGCAACCCATCCTCTCCCTCCCTGAGAGCAGACATAGACTCAACTCCTATTTTAACTTACCTTGAGGAGTTTCCCTTTCTTTCTTGCAAGATCAGCTATATATTGTAAATATTTTAAAATTGTTTTATTGAGCGTTTTTAGGTATTTTGCTGGAAAATTTTCATGTTGGATAGCCTTTCATCTTGCTGTGAATAGAATTGTCTATCGTAAGTGTTTTTCTCTTAACAGCTCAGTTTTGGGGGGAATTTTTGTTTTTTTGAGATGAAGTCTTGCTTTGTTGCCCAGGTTAGAGTGCAGTGGCGCAAACTTGGCTCACTGCCACCTCCACCTGCTGGGTTCATGATTCTTCTGCCTCAGCCTCCTGAGTAGCTGGGATTACAGATGTGCGCCACCACACCTGGCTAATTTTTGTATTTTTAGTAGATACAGGGTTTCACACGTTGTCCAGGCTGGTCTCAAACTCCTGATCTCAAGTGATCCACCCACCTCGGCCTCCCAAATTGCTGGGATTACAGGCGTGAGCCACAGCGCTCAGCCGTATGGAGATATTTTATACAGCTCATATCATTCATCTATTTAAAAGCATATGGTTTAGTGGTTTTTAGTATCTTCACAAATTTGTGCACGAATCACCATGATCTAATGCTGTAACATTCCCATTACTCCAGGAAAAAGCCCTATACAAATTAACAGTCTCTGTCCATTTTCTCCCCAAGTTCCCCTTTCCCTACTGAAAGCAACCACGGATCTACTTTCAGGTTCTACAGATTCACCTGTTCTGTACATTTCACATAAATAGAATCACTACATGGTCTTTCGTGACTAGCTTCATTTACTTGTCATAACATTTTCAAAGTTAACTCTTGTCATAGCTTGTATCACTACTTCATTCTTTTATACTGCCCAATATCCCATTGGTCTGGAGATACTATATTTTGTTTCTCCATTCATCAGCTGATGGACATTTAGCTAATAAGAATAATGCAACTGTGAGCATTTGTGCACCAGTTTTTTGGGGGATGAATGTTTCCATTTTTCTGGGTAGAAATTTCCTAGGAGTGGAATTGCTGGGTCATATGGTAACTATATTTAGCATTTTTTGTTTTTGTTTTTGAGACAGAGTCTTGCTCTGTCACCCAGGCTGGACTGCAGCTGCGGGATCTTTGCTCATTGCAACTCCGCCTCCTGGGTTCCAGTGATTCTCCTGCCTCAGCCTGCTAAGTAGCTGGGACTACAGGTGCACACCACCACACTCGGCTAATTTTTGTATTTTTAGTAGAGACTGGGTTTCACTGTGTTGGCCAAGCTGGTCTTAAACTCCTCAGGTGATCACTTCAGCCTCCCAAAGTGCTGAGATTACAGGCATGAGCCACCACACCCAGCCTATATTAAGCATTTTGAAGAACAGCCCAACTGTCTTCCAAAGTGGCGGGACACCTGTACATTCCCACTAGTAATGTTGCATCACAAGTGATTTTAAAACCAAGCGCAGGTGTTTGTACTCAACATGGGAAGAGTCCTTGTGGAGTTTTGAGCGCAGTTCAGGGGATGTCATTGGAATATTTGTTACACATCAGCAGATTCGACATGAGGGAGCAGGTAGAAAGTGCTGGAGTTCTCTAATTCTCCGCTCATAGGGTCTCTATGGAAATGAGGGCAGCAAGAAAAGACATCAGGATTCCTGAAGAACATATTGGACGGTGGAAATGATTCTCAAGCAGAAAAACGATGCTCGTCTGACATTGATTGAGGTGCTCGCACAATCTTTGCTTTTGATCTTGATATTACAGAAAATAAATTTCTGTTCTCAGAGAAGCAGGAGAGCGAATACAAGCTTTGCCACTAGGTGACGGAGAACTATCTCAAGACTGGAGCAGGTTTCTTGGCTCTTGACTTGCCTAGGGGATGTCTTCGTGGGAGATTTGGATCCTTCTGGGTGCTTCTGGCTGCCCAGGCTGTCAAAGCCAAGGAGGCTGGTCCTTCTTCTTTCTGTCAGTGGCAGCAATGAAATGCTGGATATTGGATCTCCATCATTTAAATGGATAAAGTGTGTGTGTGAGTGTGTGCGTGTGTGTGCTGAGTGGCTGGAACATTTGAAATGGCAGAAGGCAATGAGAACCCTTAACAACGAAAGTTTTCTGGTTAAGTAGTAAAACCTCCCATAACTCCAGGATTTAAAAATTGCCCATCAAGCTGTTTATCCTATAACGGAATAATAGGTTTAGAGCTGCCACCATCCTGGGAGCTTGCAGATTGCTCAGTGAGGCTTGTTACAGAGGCTTCCAAGTCTGCTTGGCACGGTTATCACCCGTGTGGGTTTTTTCCTCTCCTCTGTGATTTATTCTCAAACATTTTGTATTTCCTGTTGCCATTTAGATAAAATTTAAATAAAACCATTAGGGAAAGAGCTGTGTCAGAATGTTGGACCCTTTAAACTCAGGATACAAATCAATCTGTATGTCGCTTTCTGTTCAAATGAAGCAAAAGCATCTGCAGTTTGGCAGTTATCTGTGGACTTGCTGTTTTTATTCTGTGCTATTTCTTCTTGCTGTAGTTCCTCCTAGCAAAAGGGAAACAGGCATGAATAATGGCCCTCGTTCGATCTCATTTCCTGTGTCCTCTTTCGTCCTCATTTCTCCTAGTGTGGAGGGTCTCTCCCTCTTACAGACCCCCATCTCATCCCAGTTCCCAAAAGGAGAGGGAGGATTCTTTTTTATTTATTGGGTTTTCTTTTTGAGACAGAGTCTTACTCGGTCGCCCAGGCTGGAGTGCAGTGGTGCAATCTCGGCTCACTGCAAGCTCCATCTCCCGGGTTCAAGAGATTCTCCTGCCTTAGCCTCTTGAGTAGATGGGACTATAGGCGTGCACCATGACGCCCAGCTAATTTTTGTATTTTTTGGTAGAGACAGAGGTAGAGGATTCTAATTGGTAACCAAACTTTAACCCCAGAACGCTCTGTGGCCTTGACCTTCCTCTAATACAAATGTTTTCAGGGCCTATACCTGAGTGGGATAAATTGAGGACATCATTTTTTCTGTGACAGGTAATGTTAAAATTTCTGTTGAAACTGCAGCAGAGATTGAGTAATACATCCTGGTATGGTGGTTTTCTAATAATTCTTTTTTCTCCCACTTTTTCTAGGCTTATCCAAATCCCTTGGGCTCATTGAAGGTTATGGTGGGCGGGGTAAAGGGGGCCTCCCGGCTACTCTTTCCCCAGCTGAAGAAGAAAAGGCTAAGGGACCCCATGAGAAGTATGGCTACAATTCCTACCTCAGTGAGAAAATTTCACTGGACCGTTCCATTCCGGATTATCGTCCCACCAAGTAAGTTCTGGTTCAGTCATTCAGGGAGCTTGATGGGTCGTCAGAATGGGTGTAGACCCCTAAGTCTGTGATATTTTCCACTGTTATTTGTAACTCTTGGGGGAGTTTTTATTTTAGTTTCCTCTTCAATAAATACACTTAGTACTCCTGTTGCTTATGAGAGATTACCTAAGCAAACACGTTCAGTTGTTATCAAAGTGTTCCAGAAACATAGAAAGAGCCTCAATACAAAAAGCTTTATATTTTATTTCTTCTTCTTCTTCCTCTTATTCTTCCTCTCCTGTTCCTCTCCTTCTCCTTCTCCTTCTTCTTCCTCTTCTTCTTCATCTTCCTCTCCTCCTTCTCCTTCTCCTCCTTCTCCTTCTCCTCCTCTTTCTTCTTCTTTTTTTTTTTTTTGTCACTCTTGTTGCCCAGGCTGGAGTGCAATGGTGCAATCCCAGCTCACCACAACCTCCGCCTCCTGGGTTTAAGTGATTCTCCTGCCTCAGCCTCAGCCTCAGCCTCCCAAGTAGCTGGGATTGCAGGCATGTGGCACCATGCCTGGCTAATTTTGTATTTTTAGTAGAGATGGGATTTTACCGCGTTGGTCAGGCTGATCTCAAACTCCTGACCTCAGGTGATCCGCCCACCTCGGCCTCCCAAAGTGCTGGGATTACAGGTGTGAGCCACCATGCCTGGCCATTATTATTCTTTTGATGTTTATTTTATGTTCAGGGGAACATGTGTAGGTTTGTTATATAGGTTAATTGCATGTCACAGGGGTTCAGCGTACAGATTATTTCATCGTACAGGTAATAAGCATAGCACTGAATAGATAGTTTCTTGATTCTCGCCCTTCTCCTTCCCTCCACCTTCAAGTAGGCCCCGTGTCTGTTGTCCCCCTTTTTGTGTCCATGTGTACTCAGTGTTTAGCTCCCACTTATAAGTGAGAACTGGTGGTATTTGGTTTTCTGTTTCTGAGTAAGTTTGCTTAGGATAATGGCCTCCAACTCCATCCATGTTGCTGCAAAGGACATGATGCCATTCTCGTTTATGGCTGCGTAGTATTCCATAGTGTATATGTGCCACATTTTCTTTATCCAGCCTACTATTGATGGGCATTTAGGTTGATTCCATTCCTTTGCTACAGCGAATAGTGCTGTAATGAACATACCTGTGCACGTGTCTTTATGGTAGAACAATTTATATTCCTTTGGGTATATACCCAATAATGGGATTGCTGTGTCAAATGGTTCTGCTTTGAGTTCTCTGAGACTTCACCAAATTGCTTTCTACAATGGCTGAAGTAATTTACATTCTCACCAGCAGTGTATAACCATTACCTTTTCTCTGCAACCTCTCCAGCATCTGTCTTTTTTTTTTTTACTTTTTAATAGTAACCATTATAACTGGTTGAAATGGTATCTCATTATGGTTTCGATTTTTGTTTTTCTAAAACAAATCACCGTGATCTCATGACTTAGGGACAGCATCTATTGACGTTTTTGTATATTGTCTTTGAGTCAGTTTTCTATACAGGTTATGAGTGTATGTTATCTCACTTTTTCCCTTTTTCATTTAACATTAAATCAAGAGTATTTTCTGATGTTATTAATGATGATCTGTTTCCATTGTTGGAAATTTAGGTTATTTTCAATTTTTCTTTATTATATATAACCTTCTATTGAATATTTTTTCACTCACATCTTTATTTGTATTAATTTGATATTTATTTTCTGAATCCACACTTCTAAAGGTGTATAGTAGAGGGATATTTTTGGAGATTCTTGATATGTATTGTAATATTTTCCTCCAGAAAATCTATAGTAATTCTACTCTCATTAGAATTTTACTAGACCCTTCCAATACTGGGTATTAGCATGTAAAAAATGCCAAACTGATAGGCTATTGTTTCAACTTAAACTTTTTTGCATGAGATTCTTGTCTTTTAAAAAACTTGAGGGTGTAATCCCAGCACTTTGGGAGGCTGAGGAGGGTGGATCACGAGGTCAGGAGTTCGAGACCAGCCAGGTCAAGATAGTGAAACCCTGTCTCTACTAAAAATACAAAAATTGGCCGGGTGCAGTGGCGGGCGCCTGTAATCCCAGCTACTCAGGTGGCTGAGGCAGGAAAATCGCTTGAACCAGGGAGGCAGAGGTTGCAGTGAGCCAAGATTGTGCCATTGCACTCCATCCTGGGCGACAGAGTGAAACTCCATCTCAAAAAAAAAAAAAAAAAAAAAAAATTGGGTCTGAGTACAGTGGCTCACATCTATAATCCTAGCACTTTGGGAAGCCAGTCGCTTTGGGCAGATCACTTGAGCCCATCAGCCTGGGCAACATGGCAAAGCGTTGTCTCTACAAAAAATATAAAAATTAACCAGGTATGGTGGTGGTACATGCCTATAGTCCTAGCTACTCCTGAGGCTGAGGGTCACGTGAGCCTGGGAGGTCGAGGCTGCAGTAAGCCGTCATGGCACCACTGCATTCCAGCCTGAGGAAGAGAGTGAGACACTGTCTAAAAACTATTTGTGTGCATCTTGGTTGGATTAGGAGAGTTCTTTGTTTTGTGCTCTCAGATTTAAGAATTACTTATTTTCTGCTTGTAAAACAGACAAAAGAGGTTGGATATAGTGTCAAGATGCTGGAGAGAAAGCCCCTATGTTCCAGGCAGAACTCCACCTCCGATTCTCAAACAGATTCTCCATTTTCTATTAGATTTGTAGTGTCTCTATTTAGAGTGTGTCCTTGCCTGAAGTAGATTATTTCTTTCTCAAATGAATTTTGTACAAATCAGTTAAGTGTCTTGGTTACTGAGAAAAATAGATTCGAGATAAGGAAAATTATCTTAAATGGATGTAAATCTGCAGCATTAGCTGAGAAACCTGTTAAATCTCTCTCTACTGAATAAGCATATACTCACTTAGAATCACTAGGAAAATATACATCACCCCTGCTGGAAGCTATTTTGTGTCCCTGGACTTTGGCTCTCCAAAACATCTGTCTGTTTTTATTTCCTGATGCTCTCTCATTAGCCTTTCTTATTAGGACATTGGCAAATAAACATGGCCTTATTTTTTGTACTTCTCTAAGAATGAAAATGCCTCCACAACGAGGTTACTGGAAATGAGCTGGTTGAACAAGTATTATTGAGCACTTATTATGCGCCAGATAGTTTTCTTCACGCTGGAGATAGACCATTGGATACTCCTTGCCTACTTACTTCTTGTCTAGGGAGGAAGACAGATATACAAGCAGATCAGTTCAGCACAAGATACATGCCGGCTAGAGATTCACACAGCACGTGCAGGGAGGGTCTGAGAAGGTTTCTTGTTTGAAGTAACGCCTGAAGGACCATTAAGGGATAGAAAATTGAAGATGAGGGGGCTGAGCACAGTGGCTCACGCCTGTAATCCCAGCCCTTTGGGAGACCAAGGTGGGCAGATCGCCTGAGGTCAGGAGTTCAAGACTAGCCTGGCCAATGTGATGAAACCCCATCTCTACTGAAATATACAAAAACAGAAGCGGGGCATGGTGGTGCACACCTGTGGTCCCAGCTACTTGGGAGGCTGAGGCAGGAGAATGGCTTGAAACTGGTAGGTGGAGGTTGCAGTGAGCTGAGATCATGCCACTGCACTCCAGCCTGGGTGACAGGTGAGACTCTGTCTCAAAAAGAAAAAAAATAAAGGAAAATTGAAATTGGGAGAGGGATAAGGTGGACCAGGCAGGAGAACAGAAGGAGCACACTTGGTTGGGTATGATTTGGCGTACTCAGGGAGGATATTGCTGTGTAATATAACATGATAGCCTGAACATACACCATTTATATGTGAACCTTCCTGAAACCCTGTTAAAATGATAGCAAAGGAATAGAGAGAATGGCAACTTAGAAGGAAAAAAACCCACAACAGGTTAGGCAGTGATCACAGGGAAGAGAGACATGTACAAAATTTTGGAAGATGGAAAGAGGATGGTAATGGCAACTGGCAGAGCAAGCTGGGTGAAGCTGAGACCCAGCCTCCCGCATGAGGTGGGTGGGGGTGGTGAGAGCTGAAGAATGCAGTCTAGCCAGAAGCCCCCAGAGACTCAGGAATTGGAGATGACAGACATTTCTGACGGCTAGAGGGGGATTTGAAAAGAAGGGATGCAGTTAGCAGTTATGTCTCCAGATCCTTTCTTCAACTCTGCACAGCCAGAGACTGCCCTTTCTCATCTGGCAGAATATGGGAGGTTTACTCCCTGGAGAAGATGAACTGTGGTTCACAGAGGTGGCCTTGGACAGAGAATAACAGGGCTGCATATGAAATGGGATGACTTTCCAGCTCCATTACCCCTCTAGTCTCTATTACTCCTGTAAGCAAGAGTTTGAAGAATCCACTTAGAGAAAATTATTCAGCCTAAGGAAAAGGCTGATAGATCTGACAGCTGGGGGTACCCCAAAAATGGCTGGGTTCTGCTCATTAACTATTAGTATGGCATGCCTGTTATAAGGCTTCATCCTTTTACATAAAGCAGTCCTGCTCTAAAATAAGAAAGGAAAGGCAGGATCACTAGACATCTCAGTAGAGTCTTTGTTGTAAAAGATGTTAACAACAGCGGAAAACAGTAAACAGAAACAACAAACTTTAAAACTATAATAAATGACTTAGGAGATATAGAATGTTTGTTTTGTTTATAAACCAAGAGCAAATAGATATATTAAGATAATAATCATAAGGCCAGGTGCGGTGGCTCATGCCTGTAATCCCAGCACTTTGGGAGGCTGAGGTGGGTGGATCATTTGAGGTCAGGAGTTCGAGACCAGCCTGGCCAACATGGTGAAACCCCGTCTCTACTAAAAACACAAGAAAAAATTAGCTGGGCATAGAGGTTCATGCTTCTAATCCCAGCTACTTGGGAGACTGAGGCAGGAGAATTGCTTGAACCTGGACGTAGAGATTACAGTGAGCCCAGATTGCACTACTGCACTCCAGCTTGGGCAACAGAGTGAGACTCCACCGCAAAAAAAAAAAAAAAAAAAAA